CTGCGCCACTTCACCAACTCCTTTCTTCGGGAGCGTCATACGTATGGTCGGACGAATGCCAAATGGCTTTTGACACCTTGAAACGTGCCCTCACGTCTGAGCCAGTGCTTTGTCATTTCGATAACGCCGCACCCACTCTCCTCCATACTGATGCCAGCGGACACGGACTCGGCGCTGTACTTCTGCAATGAACAGGGCGTTATGACGAACGTGTGATCGCATACGCAAGTCGCACCCTCACAGCAGCAGAGAAAAACTACACCATCACCGAGCAGGAGTGTCTCGCCGTTGTCTGGGCCATCCAGAAGTTTCGACCATATCTTCACCGCCGCCACTTTACCGTCGTCACTGACCACCACGCTTTGTGCTGGCTGTCGACGTTGAAGAATTTGTCTGGACGTCTCGGTCGCTGGATACTTCGTCTCCAAGAATACGAGTTTGACGTTATCTACAAATCCGACAAGAAACACAACGATGCCGATGCCCTTAGCCGCTGTCCTTTACAATCCTCATCAGGCACTCCTGGCCTGTCGCCAACTGTGAGTGAACCCATCAAAGTGTCTCCGTCAGTTCATTCACTCGCCGCGGTCGATTTTCTTTCTACCTTCAACAACGACACGTTTGCATCCCACCAACGCAGCGACACTTACTGTCGCTCTATAATGCAGTGCCTTCAAGGCTCCTCTCGTCCTCCCAACGCTCGCGCCCATCGACAGCTGCGGAACTTCAAGACTGAAAACTCAATCCTTTACCGCTTTGTCTTCCACCCCGAAGGACAGCGCTGGGTTCCTGTTGCTCCTCGTTCCCTAAGGGCGCAGATTTTGGAGGCGTTTCACGATGGCCCCAAGGCTGGTCATCTAGGTTTTCAAAAAACCTATGAACGCATCCGCAGTCGTTTTGCCTGACCTGGCCTTTCCAACTGCGTAGCGCGATATGTTGCGTCATGCTCGCTATGCCAACGCCGCAAGCGACCCACTTTCTCCCCGGCCGGTCTTCTACAACCTCTTCCGTGTCCGGACGCTCCCTTCGATGTCATTGGCATTGACCTCTACGGACCGCTACCAATATCAGCTAGCGGCAAGCGCTGGATTGTCACAGCAGTTGACCACTTAACAAGGTACGCCGAAACAGCTGCACTTCCTTCAGGATCAGCAGAGGACATTGCCACATTTTTTTCTGGGGGCAATCTTTCTAAGACATGGTGCACCACGCATCTTATTGAGCGATCACGGCAAGGCGTTTCTCTCTAAACTCCACGCATGTAATACGATTCATAAGACGACATCCAGCTACCATCCCCAGACTAACGGCCTCACGGAGCGCTTCCATCGAACTTTGACCGACTTGATATTTATGTATATCAACGCCGACCACACCAACTGGGATACCATCCTGCCATTCGTGACTATTGCGTACAATACTGCTACGCAGCGCACCACGGGCTATTCCCCATTCTTTCTCGTCTATGGCCGTCAACCAACATCTCCGCTCGACATCTCCTTTTTTGACGTCCCTGTGAACTCGTCATCGTCATCGAGGGAGCACTTAATCTCTCGCCTGGCCGATTGTTGCCGACGCGCCCACCTCAATACACAGGCAAGCCAACAAGAGCGGAAGACTCGCTACGATGGCGTCCACCGCGTAGTTCACTTCAATACTGGAGACGAAGTACTCTTGTGGACCCCAACGCGGGTTCCCGGCCTGTGTGATAAGTTTCACTCACGTTTCATCGGCCCCTACGCTATAGTCGAGCAGACGTCTCCTGTTAACTATCGAGTAACCCCTGTTGTCATGTCTCCCGACGGCCGTTTTCGTGGTACGGAGGTTGTTCACGTGTCGCGCTTAAAACCATTCGTGCGCCGTACACCACCGTCATAAACAGCGGCCTAATTGGCCACTTCCGCGCGAGGGGGAAATTAGTGTAAGCACAATATTGACAACGTTTGACCTTCATCTTCTTCATCTGTATATAATCATCATCACGAAAAACGTCGTCTTCGTTCGAAGCAGGGTTGATCAGGCGATTCGGCTTAATAAACACCGTCGAGACTCCAACGCTGCTACTGTCTTACAATATATATATATATATATATATATATATATATATATATATATATATATATATATATATATATATATATATATATATATATATATATATATATATATATATATATATATATATATAGGTATGGGATATGGCACAACGGGAGCGTTGTCAACAAGGATAAATATATTTATTTCCCAACAGTTTCGGCAGGGGTCCTCCCTTCATCAGGGGATGAGTTATAACTCATCCCCTGATGAAGGGAGAACCCCTCCCGAAACTGTTGGGAAATAAATATATTTATCCTTGTTGACAACGCTATATATATATATATATATATATATATATATATATATATATATATAGAGAGAGAGAGAGAGAGAGAGAGAGAGAGAGAACTAAGATAGAGAGAGATAGAGAGCTCTTTTAAAACAGTACAAATTTTTTATAAAAGTCCTACGACAGTAAGGCTCCTGTCGTTATCGCACGCGAATTCCCCGTAATTACCATGACACTTGAGGGAAAGTGTTTATATTGCAAAGTTGTAGTGCGCGTCACTTTTTGGCATACCTATTTTTTTATAAATCACGTAGTTCGAGATGTTCATCATCGAGCTTGACGGGCAAAATTGAAACTGATTTTGCAAGGTGCGCATATATAATTGGCAACGGACGCATTCAGGAAAGCCGCTGCTGAAGAATTGATAGAGTTTTGCTTTAGGCGCCTATAAACTAACACCAACAAAAAAGCGATGTACGTTGATTGAGTGGTTTTTTATGAAAGTTTGTCTGGAGATTACTGCTGTATATGTATACGACAAGGCTGACATACAGATCCACAAATGGTACGTCGTAAGTGACACATGTCGATACCGCGAAACGTTTCCCTGACAAGCGAAAGGAACAGCTATAACATATTTATATCGTAGTGGGTAATTTCTTGAAAAAAAAAAAGTAAGAGAAAGGCCAACGAAGCGGCAGACGTCACACAAGCGCGATCAATCATTGATCATCAGCATAAGGTTGCCATTCCGTTTTGCCGCACCAAATTATTTTCAGCAGCCTTCTTACCGAAAACAGCCGCCGATTGGAACCACCTTCCCTCTTCCGTTGTATCAATAACAGACCCTTTGTTATTCAAGACTGCAATTTCTCAGCAATGCTTGTAACTATACGCAGTTTTCATTATCTATCTTTGTCTTGTATGTGCTTGAATTCTTATACATTTTTAGTTGACTTATGTTGCCTTCCTGATTTGCGCATCTGATACTTGTTTCTTTATTTTGTTTTTTTTCTTGTGTGTTATATATGTTGTACCCACCCCCTCTGTAATGCCCTACGGGCCCTGAGGGTATTCTAATAAATAAATAAATAAATCACTGGTCGTGTCACACGAACAATGAACACACCCTTTGCATGAAGGACGAAATGCTCATTTGATGTGTTCGTTTCTCACCACTGCATCCGTGATCTGCCTTGCATATTCATTTCCTCGTGTCTATTGAGAGCACAGTTATCACGTGTAAGCAGATGACTCAGAAGATATGCGTCAGACAGGGGATCGCAAACATCCAAAACTGAGAACGCGGTGTTTTGTTAGAGCAAGTCACAAAATAAGCCACTCGGCTAGTGTGTGAGGTTGTACGTTGAGTATGCAATTAAACACGATTTGTTGCGATGACTTTTCTATGGCTATTAGATTATCGCTACTTCGTGCTACACAGTATCGAAGCCTTTCGCGTTTTTTTTTCTTTTTTTGTTGCTAACCGATCAATAACTGGTTATTTGCCTTTGTTATTCTTGTTTAAAAGCTAGAGATTGATTTGAAGATACTTTATAGAAACTTGTTAGAGGTGTGCATCCGTCATAGGCGAGAATGAAACGTGCCTGGCAATATCAACAAGGCTTTGCGAAACGATATGAAAAATAATGAAGAGAAAAACATGGCACGCGCATAGTTGTGTATGTACTACACAGACGGATCATGGTAAATCTAGAAAAAAAATAAGACAAGAAAAAAACAATAAAACAGGCCTACAATTGTGCTTTGCCAGTTTATTACTATGCTTATTTTAAAAAAAAGGGGGGGGGGCAGTAGGATAACTTTTGATGCACTACAACAGAGAATCTATAGGCTTAACAAGTCGTATACGGTAATGGTGTTCTATTTACCTATGTAAGTTCTAAAAGCTATTTCGGGAATCGCGATCTGATGATAAGTAAAATCGCCTCTGTCATCGCTGCAGCATCACTCAATGCTGTGATTTCCCATGTGACAAAATTTCAATCAAAACCTTAGAAAAGTAATGCAAGTATCTTTATTATTTTTCTTACATTAATCAATAAACGTTTCAAGAGACATATGATTATTCTCAATATATTACATTTATATACGCTCTCCCATCTTCCTCACACTCTGAAAATGCTCTTGTTTCTAATGCTGTGACACTCCTTATGTAACCTTCACTGAGGTTTTGTCTGTGACTTTAGCATTTGAAAGCGGCGGTGCCGAATCAGTAAAATCTAGAGCCTACCATACGTAATGAAAACCGCACTGCAGCCAGGAAAAAGACACACGCAAAAATTTTCGGACGGCACATCCTTATTGTCGAACTCTATCATATGACATCTTCCGTCTCATATTATTTAAACAGCCGGCTTTCCAATCCACCATTTACATATCTTTCGTGAGGACCTTGCTTCCGACTTAGGTAGCCGAGGGCACCTTGCCAAATAAGCCAAATCTAGGGCCTATATCGTACGCCATCGACCCCGCATTGAAACCAGTGCGGAGATGTACGCAATATCTGCACACGCAAGGAGGGCTCGCTGGTGTTTACACGCACGGCTGCACGCGCAGTCGTCCTCGCCGAACGGGCTGCCCGCCCCCTCGGGGCAAATGGCACTCAGTCAAGGTGGCCGCATGTAAAGAGGAGAGAGATGGCGAGGGCACAACTCGGAAGCCGTGAATGCCCGTTTGCTCGCGGTTGTCCGCTGACCATTCCTCTCCTTTCCCAGCTGACACTGGCACGTGTTTCTCGTACCTAGGAAAAGAAATGGACATGTGAAGTCGTCGCAGAAGTTTCACCGAGCCGTGAATGAGACGAGGCACTGACGATGAGTGGCGCTTAATCAAACCGATCCACCGAGTGCGCATATTCAGCGGGAAATTATACGGAGGCCGCCGCCGTACCAAGGCCCGTGCATCGGGCTTCATCGGGGTCCAAAAGTCTGGCACTGTCCTCTGCAACTGTGGTTTTCTTGAAAAAGTTGTACTATGAAGGGCAATGGATGCTCTCAACGTTCTCGTAGCGTCAACAGCGAAGCCGGTAGCGCCATCACAGGGTGAGTGGGACAACGCTTAATGCTCTTTATCCGAGCCCCACAGACATTCCTAAAAGTGGTGACTTAGAGATCGACAGCAGTCGAACGAGGAATGTATGGAATGTATCTGGCTGAATTCAGTTATGACTTGACAACGATCTATGTAAGGAGATGCGCACGACATAGTCAGCACGAACTTGTCATGTATGAGCAGTGCTACGCAAGAGAGGCGATCGTCCTTGCATCAAAAAATGACAAAAAATTATATAATCTTCAAAGCCTGCCTTCGTCCCCGCCGCCGCGGTCTAGTGGCTAAGGTACTCGGCTGCTGACCTGCAGATCGTGGGATTGAATCCCGGCTGTGGCTCCATTTTCGATGGAGGCGAAAATGCTGCAGGCGCATGTACTCACATTTGAGTGCACGACCCAGGTGGTCAAAATTGCCGGAGCCCTCCACTATACGGCGTCTCTCATAATCATATAATGGTTTTGGGACGTTCAACCTCACGTATCAATCGATATAAGCCTCCCTCTGTCATTCCGACGAATCGATATCACTTTGTCGAAGAGTGTGTATTTGAAGGACGTCCCCTATTGGACGAATGCTATCTGTTTTATTTTAACTATACGTGACCTGGTTAAGCGATATGGGCAGAGTGAGACGCGCGTGCACGAGCTCGTTTTTACTCGGGGGAAAAAAAGGCGAATGCATTTGTTGCTTACCTCGTTGGAGATATGACGGTGCATGCTGTGCGCTCTACGTACGTAATAAAGCCACCACACAGAAAGCAGAAGGGGTTACCTTACGCGAAGAATCACGCCGATAAGTAAGTACCGTCACAATGAGCTAAGGACCTCTGCAGTATACCATTAAGCATGGACACCGACCAAACACCTATTCCAGATTTTGTTGTGAAGCCAGACAAAAAAAGGAATCGAGGGTACATGTGGTGGCTTAACTTTCCCAGATGACGCAGGCGATTTCATTCAGTGAGAGAGAGGTAAAGAGAAAAATATAGAAAGAATCATAGATCATTTTGTCTTAGCATACACGATACCTTTCATGCACGAAGACAAATGCAGCGGGACAATGATAGTTTAGGAGGAACTTCATGACTACTACAGCCTTTGTGTGCAACGTGCTCTGTATATGTGCAGGGCTTATAAGCCCTGCATCCGTTGGTAAACGATTAATTTTGGGATGTATATAACGTCTATTCTGCGAGTGCTCCGGCTTTCAGGTAACATCGTCTGGGCACAACGCATTTAGTGTGAGAGCTGACATATTTAGAGTTATCAGGGGAAAACATCCAATATGTGCAATTCTATTTATTTTTCGGAATTACTGAGCACCAGTTTTTTATATATTGTTATGAGTACTAAGTAGGATCGTTCCTTAAATAATTTTGTAAAACTTGTTCTTGGGCTAGTTGGTACATGTTTACTGAAATGGAAAAATACGCGTTTCGTCAAGGAAGGAAAGAACACAACAGAACAGAACGGAAAAGGACCTTACAGAATTCCTGAGAAGTCGGTGGAATTTAGAAAATTTGTGGATTGTTCAACAGACCGAATCTTCAAAGGAGCATCTAAGGTCATCGTCTCAAATTTAGCTCAGGGGGGAATAAGTGAGTAAATGAGAGAAATAGAAAGCAGGAGATAGACATTGAACACTGCAGACACAGTGCAGGGTTTCACAGGCAGTCACTCAGTGATGTTGCCCACAAGAATTGCAGAAGGGCTCGTGTGGCTTTCTCGGCTGATGTATGCTTGAAGACCACGCACCCAAGCTCTTCTCCTTATGAATACTGGAAAGGGCATGGAGCCGCACTTTATCCAGGTATCTCCGAAATTGATTTGTGAGACATCTCTGCTATACGGAGGTGCCCAGTGAGCGCATATTTCAAACTGCGTAACATCACGGCAAGAACACTTAAAGCCAGGTCAAGTGGAACCGCTTGTGTTCCTGCATGATAGTTTGTACTTTTTCGACAGCAACGACGGACCATGTTTTCCACTCGAGACTATGAGCAGATTTTATTTCTTCGTTCATTCTTTCAGTTTTAAGCAGCATCTTTTGTTATCAATATTTCATTGGATATTCCATATTTTCGGCTGCTATTGGGCACCATTTGATTCGAATTCGATTCGAGATGAAATTTCACTGTTTGCACACCCCTAGAAACAATAACTTCTTCGCAAATTTGTTGATGATTGATTGATTGATTGGTATGTGGGGTTCAACGTCCCAAAACTATCATATGATTATGAGAGACGCTGTTGTGGAAGGCTCGGGAAATTTCAACCACCTGGGGTTCTTTAACGTGCACCCAAATCTGAGCACACGAACCTACAGCTATTTCGCCTCCATCGAAAATGCAGCCGTCGCAGCCAGGATTCGATCCCGGCTGCATGCGAGTCAGCTGCCGGGATAAAATCAGCAGCCGGGCTGCTGAACCTGCGGGTCAGCAGCCGAGCACCTTAGACACTAGACTGCAGCAGCGGGGCCACAAATTTTTGTCGCTTCTTTGAGTCATGCTTGATGGTAATATAAAGAAGTGTTTAAACCAAATTTCCAGTTTGTGAAAATAACTAGGTCGTTGAATATGCCGAATGGGTGAATTACCTCACGCGTATTTTTTAACTGATCAGAAATTTTAGTAAGTGCTGGTTTTTGGAGAATTTCAGTTAACAGCATAGAAAAATCGCAGCATTTTGTAACTCATAATGAGACGCGGGACCAATAACTTCGAAAACTGTTAGCAACAAATATAACTATTTATTTGGCGAACTTGTTTTAACTTTCCCTCTCAAACCTATATTAGAACTGTTAGTGCCATACGTTCTCATTTAAAGAAATCATTTAGATAACCCATTCCTATAAGCCACAAAGCACTCCTTATTAGCCAGAGTTACGCAAAGTAACAGAAATTGACTCGTTATGTCACATAGCTAATAATATTCCTGTCGCCACCACTAACTGTTCGCCTTGCAAGCTTATTGTTGGAGCTCGGGCAGGATTTAAATAAATGAACAACGATTCATAATAATGTATAACAATACAATTCCTTAAATACATTGAGGTTAATATTAAGGAAACAAGTAAATCCATGGTCCCGCATTATTGAGGTCACGTGCTGTTAACGGTTATGGCGCAGAAGGGGTCCAGCTTAGAACATGATTGAGTATTTATTGCACAACAGTCTTGCGCAGCAAAAATGTTTATCTGATGATTACTCGTGGTGCATATTCACGGGATGCTAAAATAGTACGAGATAATCGTGCTCGCTTCGGCTCCTATCACCGGTGCAGCCTCATTCGAGCTCGCAAAACCTTTCGGGATACGAACGCGCCTATTTAAGAGACGAATAGCACCAGCAGGAATCTTTCATAACATCAGAGTCAATATCCCCATAAAGTATGCACGTAGGTTGACGCCGCGCGCCAAGCCTGCTGGCCTTTTCCTCGTCGCCGCACTTGAAAGAGTGCCCATCGGCGCGTCGGGCGACGCATACCTATAACAAGGCTGCGAAGAACGGTCGCGATCACGCCACGACGCCTCGTTTACGCAGCCGCCGCTCGTTTGCTCGCGTTGTTTCCTTTTTCCTGTCAATGCCGACTGCTGTACAGGAAGTTTGGATCTCAATCTATTCAAAATTCGCTTTCTCTCGCCCCCTTCCGTTGCAGGCGACCTCCTCCGATACGGCGGCGGCCACGTTCTGGCACGGCTGCCGTGCGGTGTCCTACGCGCGCCCTGACCTTGACAGCCTTGTTTACACTGCTGCCCTTGGTCCTCCTGCTGGCCCACCAGGCCGCTTCACAAGAGGAGGACGTCGCGACGACGTCTACAACGACAGCGACAACGACAGCGACAACGACAGCGACAACGACAGCGACAACGACAGCGACAACGACGACGACAACGACGACAAAGAAACCAATGCCCACAAATACGCGCGAGAAAGGCCTCGCCAAACAGATCTGCAAGGGCACGGAGAAGTTCACCAACACCATCAACCTGCTGCTAACGTTCGGCAAGAAAGTACTCGAAGATCCGAGGCCGCTCAAGATCGGCGAGCGGCATGGCCTGAACGTGACCATCAACGGACTCGACACCCTCCAGCTCCGCGGTACAGCTCAGACCTTCTGTAACGAAAGCGTGGCCGAAGCGGTGCTACCACTCAGGCTGTCGCCTTCGATAGTGCTGCACCGCAGGCGATCCATCCGGTTCCGTGAGTCGAACAGCGACAAGAACGTCTCGTACACACTCGCCGGTCTCGAGATGGACGTCGGCGTGCGAGTAAACAGGAAAGACCCGGACCGACACGTGGAGATTACGTCGGTCGACATCGTGGACGTGGACGCAATCGAGATCGAGGTGAAGACGTTCGCGCCAATCTCGGGCAGGCCGGTCACCTTGTTCATGGAGCGACCACCGACAGCCGTTAAGCTGGCCATGCTTAGGCCCCTCATTCAGTCCGGCTTGCAGAGGATGATCGACAGCGGAGGCTTTAAGTTATCGTCCTAATAAAAACGTCGTTTTCTTTGTAGCGTTACTGATTAGAGTAGATTAAGTGAAGCTCATGAGAAAAACCATGGCAACGTACTTTCATGATTTCCGCTTGCGTTCGATTCCAACATGCAGACGAAATTTCACTTGAAATAATATCGGGCTCTGACATTAGGGAGTTTTCGAATTGGAGCCACGAAGCCTTTAGCGCATGGACGCTTTGGGTCATGCAGAAGCGATGAGTTTTTGAATAGGGTCTATGGTGCTTTGGACACTTGACCTATTTTATGTTGCTGTATAGTTTTGACCGAGAGCCGTCACTTCAGTGGGTGCCGTCACGTGTTTCTGACCCAAAACTTTTGAGGCAGGCTGTAGGGCTCCCGCTAAATGCGCCAAAGAAATAGTGTCAAAGCGCATGCGCAAAACCCAAACGCGGTTTGGATTGTGCGCATGCGCAGTGGCCTTGACGCTATTTCTTGGGGGCCACTATTCGAAAACTCTCAATGGGCGAACGCGTAATTCTTGACACGAAGTTTTGAAACGCGAAGAAAAGACAGTGAAGAGCCAGAGCACCAGCTGTAAACTGTTTATTAATGGTCAGAGTTACAAAACCAAGTAAACCTTCAAGCCCGCTCAGTAGCGGGTAAGCACGTGAGGGCAAAACATTTCATACATAAAGTTTTCGAACAAAGTAAAAAGTAAAATTTTTAATTTCAATATCTCACTCACCCAAGCGGATTTTTCTTTCTTTCATGATTCTAAAACTTACCTCGCCTTTTGGTTTCTGTATTATCCTTCTGTATTCACTTCCACGAAAGCGTGGCACGCATCAACAAAGAGGTCACACGCACCGGAATAAATGCGTCATCACTTTCACCGTCGCTTGGGTAAATACATGTTGAAGTGTAATTGACAGGCGAGACTGTCTGGTAACCCCAGCACCGTACTGACGCCAACAAAACCACTAAATATCCTATCAGTCGTTAAAGCACCTCGATGTTACCTTTTCGTAACTGTACTCATAATTTTTTTTTCAAGACGAAAGCCTTACTTGCCCCATCAAACGCTAAAATTGGTCGGCGTTCCGCGTCAGCGTCTCCCGTTGGCGGCGTCAGCATGATTGACGCAAAATATCACGTGATAACCTAACCAAATGACGTATAACTGACGTCACAGTTACACTCTAAGCCAAAAATGGCCAAAATGGGAGCAACGGCTGTTTTTACTCCTTCAGACCGACTGTTACTCTCCGAAAAGACCAAGCGGAACAAGATGGCCGACTTGTTCGAGAATGGGGGAGCAACTGTATTCATCTTAAGTTTGTAAGGGAGCAACGGAAGGAGGAACCGCTGTAAATGCTCTCGTCACGCAACGGTTACTCCCCGGCAGGACACCGCACACAAATATGCATGCCGCCCACATTGATATTCATGGGCCAGATTATTGTTTGTTCTGTGTGCCAAACTTCACCAAACGAAAACAGTGACTTATTTTAGCATCCGTAGATAATAAGATAGCAGCGCTGGCTGAACACAGAAGGCCTGAGAATACAGTACGGCAAATACCTAACACACGCAGCAGCAGAATGGAGAGTTGGCACGTCAACGCGGACCGAACGCCGAAACACGTGCAAAACAACGATAAAAAAAGCCTAGACACGCCGTTCGTCCGCGAAGTAAGGGCGTCAAAGTCGATCAAGCACCGAAACACGTGCATAAGGAGCCCCCCGCCCAGATATATCGGAGAAGAAAAAAAAAAAAAAAAGCGGACCCAGACGCGCTTTTCATCAGCCATACACTTAGTAGCACGCTTCACCGTGTAGTTTGAGGGCAGAATGACAAATCTGCGCCATCTGCGCCCGCACGAGAAGTGTGGCGCTAGCGTAGCAAACGATGTAAGTTACAAAGTAATTTTTATTCAGTGTTTATGTTCACTAGCACTAAATAAAAATTACACTCAACTTTTTATATTTATTTATGAGTTTTAGTGTACCTCAGTTCTTTTTTATAATTGTATTAGGAAAACACACTGAAATTATTGCGCTGACGCCTGAGCTGCCACTGCTCGACGTTTTTTTTTTTTCTCGGCGCAACTAGGTTCGCGTTCGCACTACTTACTCATTTTCATAAGGTCTGTGGCTGGCGAGCACATGGACGTGCGTACTTGTGAGCTATGTTTTGATCGTGTGTGTGTGTCGCAGATTTGCGTTTCTACTTATTCGTGATGAAGGTTAGTGTATATTTATCTTTATGGAGCGCGACGTAGTTGTGGATTTTGCTGCTGGGTGGAACAAACACATCGTAAACACGTCTTCAGCTATCTGCAAGCCTGTTCGCTCGTCGGACAAAGGACTGTGCATGCATCAGCGTGCAGGTGAGTGGCATTTCCAGCAACATTTAATGCTCTTACAATACATTGTTGAGTGGTTGCGCTATTGAAAGAGAAATGATTTGCTCTTATTCACCGTATCCATTGCTAGCCGTATTGGACTAAATTACCTCTATTACCGCCTGCATACCCTCTTGCTTCCCCTGTCACCACTGCAGTGCCAGTGTACTTTTGCAGTTAAAAGATCATTTCCGCAACACTACCTCGCTTGAAAAAAACATTGGGGCGGGGTTGTAGCTGCATTCATACTGGCACTTTTCTACCATTGGCTTTATGTAAAGTTAACGGCTGAGTGTTGGGGCCTTGGGCCGCATTTTTTAGAGATGTAAGGTGTATGTAAATCAGTAAGTGAACAAATCATTGTCGCATCACTTCACTGGCATAGCCAGGCGGTTGCGCACAGAATTTTTTTAGGCCGGGCGTAGGGAGCCCGAATTGACGACCATATTCGCTTGCCCGGCCTATTCAGATAAGCGGACCCCCCCCCCCCCCCCCCCTCCCCGCACGCCTAAAAAAAAAAAAAATCTGCCCACATCACTGCGTCACTTGGCTTCACCTCTGCGCTGAACGTACTATTTTATAAGCGCACCATCAAGCGAGCAGTTTACATATTGACAGAACAATTGGAGGAGGAATGACCCAAATCTTTCAGATTTCTTTAGTGATACAAAACCTTAGCAAAACTGAATATTGAAAAAGACAATCATAAATGCTGTATGTTCTCGTTAGCGCTGTCATTATTCTGCATCATGAAATCTTTATGCGCTGTGAAAACTTGGCATGCCGTTGAAGTCACATATCGACGTTAATACCAATCGACGAAAATTTCGACAACCTCAATAACGCCGTTTGGGATTTGCCGCATGCACATAATTAGGTTGATTCCCACTTGGCTGTTCTTAACCTGACTTCACTGCTACCAAATGAAACAATATTTCATGCATGTTTTTTACTTTTTTTTCAGGGATATGACACAAATTTGGTTATACTGCAGATAAAGATGTTCCCAACAATGCTAAAGTACAGAAAGCAAGTGAATTTTGGTAAGTGCAGACTTTTTGTACTACGTATATGAAAGCATCGCTTTTTAGGGGCAAACTGTGCATGTGTTGGCCAGAGAATAGTTCATTATGCCACATGGTTACACTGGCACTGACAATTCGACATGGCTCCGCTGGCCCGTGTGTGTGCTCACACTGTTACCGTTAAGATAAAATGTTTATGTTTTCATTGCAGGGATTGCTGTTTGTACTAAAAAGCCAACTGCCATGATTTGTTTATGCTTGTACTCCTAAAAGTATGCTTTCCCTATTTACATGGATTTTGGCTTGCACAAAGCATAACACTTGGGCCTAGATTCACAAAGCTGTCCATGCGTAGGCCTTCATAACAGCGTTTCTTGACTTGCCTTTACCCTGTTTTCTGCAGATGTTTCGTGGGTTTAAAAGTGCCACAGCATGTTGACCTCCCACACTCTGAAATATTCGCGTTCAAAGTTCCGCAAGAGTGGGCTTAACTTTCTTGTGCACCTCTTTGCTAGTCCAAGATACTGAAGTGTTATGCTCTTACTAGAGGTGGCAGTGTTTCTAATGTTTGTATTTCCATCACATTGACCAAGTATGCGATCTTGGCTTGACTGGTAGCACATCCTCAACAAATGTCTTTGTGGCACATGTAGAAGGCAGTACAAAATAAATAGGCAGACATTCACACCAGGAGCTAACTTCTAATAATGCTTTTTTTTTTTGGAAACCATGGTGTGCTTATTCCAATTTGTCTAACAAGCAGTAACCTGTTTGGCTGTGAACCAAAAAGACGTTGAACTAATGAAAGCTTCACATCTTGTTGCTCTCAAATATATATGTATTGGCAAGCTATCTGTGACACTGTCAAACAAAGAATCAGAATATCTGTGCATGCCTTAAGATATATTGCTTCGTTTACATATCTCATGGCTGTGACTCGTCAACCGAGTGAACGAATGCACCCTAGTTTTCTAAATTTAAAGCATTTTTTGAAGGTAGCGCGGTCTACATTTATTTGTCTATAGTTTTGTGCAGCCGTTTGCGTCAGGTACAAAGAAATATACTGAAGATTATCATGTAGCCTCTGCAAATGGTTGCTTTCAAGCAGGCTTTGCATGCTTGGCTTGGGCCTACAGGTATTGCACAATTCAAGACGCAGCAGCGTATGATAGAACAGTAGAATCGAGAGCAACTATGTGCACGAGCTAAATAAGTATTTTAACATGAGCGGACAGTACGTATTATTTGCCACACACATGACCTCATTTAGAATGCCCATTGGTGAATGGGCTCATAGAAATGTCACTCAGCTGTGTATAGGAAACAAGTTAACTGAACCTAAGGGTATCTTTAACTGCTGCAAATATGCCTTGTTGAGGTGCTGCACATTTTCTTCCAGAATATTGCTGTCTGAGACATCATGTGAAGAGCGTCTACCACATCAGCATTTATATGGCTTGCCAAGTAACGTTTGGCCGAACCTTCCTTTTTTTCACATTTCGTTTTGCAGTAGACATCCTAGAATGTAAGCGCTGCTGCAGTGTGTGTGACTCATTGTTATGAATTGATTCTGGCATGTTTAACCTCACACTTCTATTTTTTTTCTTGCAGCATTGAGATGCTTCACATATGC